CTTCGAAGTAGTGGATATCCAGCCAGCTTTATTAGGCGTCATTTGCAGGTGTTGTTACCGGTAGCGAAACTCAACAGGGAATGGATCGGGACCGCTGTTATCCCATATAAACTAGGGACATCGGAAGCCATTCGAAGGATTATAAACATGGCTAACATAAGAGTAGCTTTCCAAAAGGGTAACATTCTGCGCTCTGCACTGGTGCAATTGAAGGATTGCCTCCCGGCAAACAGAACCAGGGACTGTGTCTACAAAATTAAGTGTAATGACGGCACCAAAGTCTATATAGGACAGACGGCCAGGGAACTACACATCAGAATCGGAGAGCGTAGTGGAAAAATAAACAGGCTGCCAAGAAACGCAGATGCATATCGAGCGTTAGTGAAAGCCTCGGCAATTGCGAAACACGCACTGGACACGGGAGGACTACGGTCCACGTCACAGAGACCGATAGTCGAGGCGGTTGAAATCGCCAAGCATCCCAGTGTTAACAGAATAGAAGGTGGAACTGGCTAGCGTGTAGAGCTGACACGTGTTGGTGTGCGGTCATGAGAAGGAAGAGTGGTCATCATCTGGATTCCAGTTGACCTCAACCCCCCTCAAACTAAGTTGTCGGACCACTCACAACCCCACAAAGATCAGAGAAAATCTACCAGTGGCACCCGTGGTAAATCATCATGTGAAGCACCCTGAAGTGGAAGATTAAGGGACGAAAGGCGATCGGAACTAATTTGGAACTCCTCCACCCCATCAACTGAAGATTTTTTGGCACCCACACTAGCCGACAAGAGCCGTTCATTGACACTCAACACTGATATAATTTGAGGAGGACTTACTGATTGGTTCCTCGTCTATCTTATAATCTGGCCAATTGGGCAACCTGTTCACTTGGCCTGATGAAGCTTTAGTGTCAAAAGCGAAACGTTGCCCAAATAAAAACTACCGACTGCTTGCCAAGCTCTTCTGAAACGATTGCGCTAAGGTTTATATAGGACAAACTGCCGGGGAATTGTACACCAGAATTGGTGAGCATAAAAGAAGGATTAACAAGCCACCAAGGGATGCAGAAGAATACCAAACGCTGATCAAAGTCTCAGCGATGGTGGTTCATGCCTTAGACACGAAACATAGAATAGATCTAGAGAATGTGGAAGCTTTAAGACGGGGACTGAGACTCACACCACAGCGGCTGATAGCCGAGGCGGTGGAAATTACTAAGCATCACAGCGTGAATAGAATTGAGGATGTGGAGCTAGCGAGCGAATGTAAAGCGGTCTTAGATAAGCCGAGTTGACACGTGATGGTGTGGTTGTCGATCCACGTAGGGTCATTAGAAAAAAGCCGGAGGGTGGGGTGGAAATCCCAACCCGACCAAAGGTCACAGCATCTCTCTTACACAACTATCTTAGCACTAACTCACCCACACAAACGAAGTTCAAGAGGGACCATCAAATGAACCGAACCAGAACAACTGGACCCTAGGTTGGACCCAAACAAATGTGGGTTTCCCCACCGACCTAACGCCTGTTCACCAACTCCAGCACACTAAAATCTCTCGGCCGACACCCAACAGGTATTTAGCTTGAATTAGCGAATTGGTTCTCCTTCCGCCTTAAATCTCCACCAACCTCGGAACCTAGTCACCTGACCTGACGAAGCTTTTGTGTCAAAAGCGAAACGTTGCCCAGCAATAAATCTACCGATTGTCACCAAACTTCTTCGAATATCTGTGTCTCTAAGTTGGACGGACGACATCACCATACTGTGCTTCGACTCTCTGACAAGTATTATTTGCCAATTTATTTAGCATCCAGTATGAACATGGTTTGAGCCAATTTCTGAATTATCCAGACCATCCGGTAAACTTTGAGACGTTGGAATGGTTCCCATGAGAAATCACTCATCAACCGGAGTAACGTCCGGTTAAACCTTGGCTCATATCCACTCTATATCATCTAGCTGTGCATGTTAACAGACGGGTGCGAAATATTTTGGCCAAGAGCTTGAAACTCCTCTTCATAGGAATAGGAATTCAGTCTCATCATCCCATGATGATAGTCACAAGGATAGAGAAATTTCTCGTTTGACAGGGTTTTCGGAATGTGAGAGCGAATTTACGATTTACTGTTCATTTTGTTTATGGGATTATCGAAAAAGTTTGTCAAACCAGATGAATTTGGGTGCAGAGGGACGAAAACAAGCCAACAATCAATCGAACAGCTTTTATTTACTGACAACTATTTACGACCTCCGCAGTATGAAAACCGCTTTCCTGGGGAAACATTTTGTTACTCTGAGTTCTCCTTCTCCATTGTAACGGAGAAGCCGCATCCATGGAAACTTTTATTTTGAAAGGTTGCAGCTGAGATAGGCAAGTGCCTACCAGTGTCTGCATCTATGCATAATGTCTTAGTTAAGTTCATTTAGAAGCGAAATGTAGCAGTGATTTTAAATATATGCTGTGCGTAAATCATGTATGAATCATGCATGAATCATGAATCACCACTCCAAGAGATGGTGGTTACTTCTAAACAAAGTTTGAGGAACAAGTCTCATCTACGCATCTGGCACCAGGACGATTGTATTAGAATCACAACAAAGTTGGAGCCGTGACCTAGGAAACTGGTGGGGACTCGGTGTTTACAAACACTATTGTTCTGACGACATTGTTGATAATGGTCAACAGCTTCCGTTTTATCGGCATCTAGGTCGATTATGGTCATATTAATCAAGAAGCATCGTTACCCGATTGGTTTGCTGCTTAATCTTCGGCTACAATAAGACACAAAGCTGAGGAAAAGTTATTCATTGGTACACTGTTGCTCCACTTCCCTTTTCACTTCCTATCTGGTTCGGGGAGAAAAGAAGTTTTTACTCAAGGACGGTTTGCCTTCAGGGTTTGACATGGCAACGAATCTCCTGTTGTGAGATATCTCCTTCCAATCACCTTTGGAACGTCTTTGTTGCCAAATCATACCTTACTCATAGATCAGGAGACTCTATAAAAAAACCTAAGTCGAACTGGGAAAACTTTTCACTGGTTCGAAGGTCATGTTTTTCATCTGGCTTATAGTTTCTGGGTTCTATACTCACGCCAATGCAACCCGATCTTTGGCTTACCTAATGATGACTAGAATTCGTCTTTCAAATTGCCCCTCTTTTCTCAGTTAGGATGATGCAAACCGAAACCTTTGTATAGTGTTCTAATTACAGTTTATTTTCAGCGGTCTTCCAAGTGAAGACGGGATGATGACCCCTGTATAGGTTCGATTAACCCAACTTTTCTTATCAACCTGGACTGAAGTGTGTCCAATAAAACGTGGGTGTATATCCAGCCAAAAGCCTCCCAAGGGCTACCACAATGTCGTAGCGCATATGGCCTAGGTCAGCTCACCCATGCAAGAAAACGGACAGTGTTCTGTCTTCACCATAACGTCAACCTTCAGGACGAAACAGTGTGAATTCAGCTGATTGTAGAAATTGGGCGTTTACGCTGAGTTGCATACTCCTTTTAGATCCCATGCATATTTCAATGCTTTCACTAAAGTTTCTGGCCCAGATGTTCCCAATCAACATTGAACTTTTCTATACCACCGATTGTCTATCCTTGGTCTTCTGGCCTACCCAGTCCTGTTCTTATTGTACACTTAGCGGAGTTTGCTCAGAGCACGGAGACAATCGAGAAGTTCGGATATATTCTGCCTTATGTTACCTCTGCATTGTTTGCCGTCCTCATTTGCTTTGCGAAACTTGGACCGTAAGATGAAAAATTCTCAGCTTAGCAAACCTGGAGAGTAGTTACTCTTGAGAGATGGCATAAGACTATCAGAGTGGCGACAATTTGTTGGTTTTCGCATCCTAGTAGAGTCGCTTTCAGTTATTGCTGCCTCAAAAAACGTCTTTACCCTTAAAATTTTGAGGTTTTAAAGTTTCCTGATGCTCAGGATCTAGTTTTATTTACCTACGGGAAAACGGCCAAAACACTGAAGCTCAAATCCGTGCAGGTTTTAGGTAAACCTACCTTAAGTTGAGCACTTTCCGTAAGAGCCTCTGGAAGATTTTGCCATATGGATGTTATTTTACTACCAACAACTACATTTGACAGGCATGCCTTATCACGAACAGCAAGTGCACATCTTACTGAAAACATCTCTCAGGAATCTCTCCGGTGCCGACAGATAACAAATCATTCCACAGAGGAAATTTTAGCTAGAGAGTCTTCACACCAGCTGGTTTTACAGGAGAATGTTCAAATGTTCAGGATGTTTCCTAATAGAGATACAATAAAGATCAGATTTAGCGAAATTTCTTTGAATTATCGTCAAAACTTAGTAAGTGTTCAGAATGGCTACCCTATCACATTTTTCATTCGAATTACTCATGAACTTTTTTAAAGTATGTGTCGAAAGCCTGGTGCAGAGTTTTTCGAATGACCTTTCAAACTGGTTCACCCGTTTTGGGCTCTGATTGCACCAGAACTCTGGGTCTCGTGTTGGTTGGACGAAACACCTAAGTAGAAATCAAGAAAATGCCCCCAGAAGTTCTAATAAGACTGGTGGTCCCTCTTGTCATAGGAACTTTTGGGATTATGACAATATGTCCTGCACCCATTGGCCTCACTGACCACAAGGTTAGTGGATATGTGAACCCAACTTCCAGTAAGTCGTATTCGTGATTATTCGTTAAAATAGTGTTCCAAATTACCCAGAATTTCACGCATATTTGCGGAACGGAAGCCACCTCCAAAAGAAGCCAAATGTCCCCAATCTATGTGGTTCTAAATCCTCAAAGGCGGTGTATCAGTATGCAATATATATCCGAAATTACCGTACATCATTCCATTAGACATAGGTGAAAGCGTTCAGAATTACTGCGCTGGTGTACACGAGAATACAAAAACTAGCCTTTGAGGCCCGTTACACATGCCAAGTGACTTAGATGGTTGGCGTTTCCGGACTGATCATTTAAAGATCTGAATATGCACACGTTATAATTGCATACTTTTATTTACGGTAAATATTGACATATGTGCGTACAATGGAGGATGTCTTGGAACAGTTTGTGGAAGTAAGTGCCTGTGTTCATCCGCTCTCGGTGCATCATACGTTTCAATCAACATGATCTGGAAAAGGAAGTTTACTAATGCGGGCATGCAAGCGTGTGAGTGTGAAGATATTCAAACCAGCTGTAAACAGTAGGAATCAGGCGCATCAATCCTCGATCGTTTTATTGCAAGGTTGAGGGACGAACGGTTTTCGAGCCGTTCATGGATAACAAGCAAGACCATGATCTACATACACAGTAGAAGAAGAGGGTAGCGATAGCAGCATTTGTTTTTTTTACAGAGATAACATCCAGCCGAATATCAGCATTCACTTTGGTACTCGAAATTAAACGGAACACTGGTCTCAGCGGCGAATCAGATTAACCAACATATCAATGGGCAGAGGAAAGATAATGGTTGAATTTTTCTCGGCAGAAATGGCACTTAGTGTTTGCAGATAGCGCAGCTGTAGCGCAAACGGGGAACATTGCAGAACATCAGCAGCTTGTTTCAAAGCAACTGAGGCCTTCTCCTCTCCTTCCGCGGCTATCACTTTGGCGCGAGCTTCTCGTGTGGCTTCAGCCTCGGCAGCCATAGCTCGTTGAAGCTGAACTGGAAGACGGACATCTTTGCTGTACAATATAGAATACAAAAATCAAAGTTCAGTGAGGGAACATTTGCGGAACAATTTCACACAGGGTAACCAAACCTGAGACCGATAGCAACTGGTAACGCTGTTGATAGGATCGCTGAGGTTAAAAATTTGTTTCCAGGTATCTCGTTGCTAATCGTGGGAATATCGTCGGTGTACAGTGGGAATCATGTCACCGGTGGTGTCCCCTCGGTTGGTGGCGAATAGCTGCTGAGAAGTAGAATTACATACTATTGGCAGTTCTAATCAGAACAGCGAACGATTGTGGAAACTAAGGAACATAACTGGATCCCCTCAAGCCTAGAAGTGCTACACTATAATGTCTGCTGCGTACCGAACTTTGACATTCATTGATACGTGTGCTCCCTATCGCGCCTTATGCATAAAATGAATACATGGCAGGGACCGTTCGTACAAGATAACGACGGATCACTCACAGGTTGCAATATTTCTCAGCACGGGACAACTTAGTTTGTTTCATTTAAGTCCATTTCGGACGACTACGTATAGCAGAAAGCCAGTTCCGTCGGAAGCAGCCATTACAAATTGATTTTTCTCCAAAAGGGAGAACTCTGTTCCAATGATAGGGAATGTGGTCCCCACCTTATGACTAATAGTCATTGATCCACGTAGGGTCATTAGAAAAAAGCCGGAGGGTGGGGTGGAAATCCCAACCCGACCAAAGGTCACAGCATCTCTCTTACACAACTATCTTAGCACTAACTCACCCACACAAACGAAGTTCAAGAGGGACCATCAAATGAACCGAACCAGAACAACTGGACCCTAGGTTGGACCCAAACAAATGTGGGTTTCCCCACCGACCTAACGCCTGTTCACCAACTCCAGCACACTAAAATCTCTCGGCCGACACCCAACAGGTATTTAGCTTGACTTAGCGAATTGGTTCTCCTTCCGCCTTAAATCTCCACCAACCTCGGAACCTAGTCACCTGACCTGACGAAGCTTTTGTGTCAAAAGCGAAACGTTGCCCAGCAATAAATCTACCGATTGTCACCAAACTTCTTCGAATATCTGTGTCTCTAAGTTGGACGGACGACATCACCATACTGTGCTTCGACTCTCTGACAAGTATTATTTGCCAATTTATTTAGCATCCAGTATGAACATGGTTTGAGCCAATTTCTGAATTATCCAGACCATCCGGTAAACTTTGAGACGTTGGAATGGTTCCCATGAGAAATCACTCATCAACCGGAGTAACGTCCGGTTAAACCTTGGCTCATATCCACTCTATATCATCTAGCTGTGCATGTTAACAGACGGGTGCGAAATATTTTGGCCAAGAGCTTGAAACTCCTCTTCATAGGAATAGGAATTCAGTCTCATCATCCCATGATGATAGTCACAAGGATAGAGAAATTTCTCGTTTGACAGGGTTTTCGGAATGTGAGAGCGAATTTACGATTTACTGTTCATTTTGTTTATGGGATTATCGAAAAAGTTTGTCAAACCAGATGAATTTGGGTGCAGAGGGACGAAAACAAGCCAACAATCAATCGAACAGCTTTTATTTACTGACAACTATTTACGACCTCCGCAGTATGAAAACCGCTTTCCTGGGGAAACATTTTGTTACTCTGAGTTCTCCTTCTCCATTGTAACGGAGAAGCCGCATCCATGGAAACTTTTATTTTGAAAGGTTGCAGCTGAGATAGGCAAGTGCCTACCAGTGTCTGCATCTATGCATAATGTCTTAGTTAAGTTCATTTAGAAGCGAAATGTAGCAGTGATTTTAAATATATGCTGTGCGTAAATCATGTATGAATCATGCATGAATCATGAATCACCACTCCAAGAGATGGTGGTTACTTCTAAACAAAGTTTGAGGAACAAGTCTCATCTACGCATCTGGCACCAGGACGATTGTATTAGAATCACAACAAAGTTGGAGCCGTGACCTAGGAAACTGGTGGGGACTCGGTGTTTACAAACACTATTGTTCTGACGACATTGTTGATAATGGTCAACAGCTTCCGTTTTATCGGCATCTAGGTCGATTATGGTCATATTAATCAAGAAGCATCGTTACCCGATTGGTTTGCTGCTTAATCTTCGGCTACAATAAGACACAAAGCTGAGGAAAAGTTATTCATTGGTACACTGTTGCTCCACTTCCCTTTTCACTTCCTATCTGGTTCGGGGAGAAAAGAAGTTTTTACTCAAGGACGGTTTGCCTTCAGGGTTTGACATGGCAACGAATCTCCTGTTGTGAGATATCTCCTTCCAATCACCTTTGGAACGTCTTTGTTGCCAAATCATACCTTACTCATAGATCAGGAGACTCTATAAAAAAACCTAAGTCGAACTGGGAAAACTTTTCACTGGTTCGAAGGTCATGTTTTTCATCTGGCTTATAGTTTCTGGGTTCTATACTCACGCCAATGCAACCCGATCTTTGGCTTACCTAATGATGACTAGAATTCGTCTTTCAAATTGCCCCTCTTTTCTCAGTTAGGATGATGCAAACCGAAACCTTTGTATAGTGTTCTAATTACAGTTTATTTTCAGCGGTCTTCCAAGTGAAGACGGGATGATGACCCCTGTATAGGTTCGATTAACCCAACTTTTCTTATCAACCTGGACTGAAGTGTGTCCAATAAAACGTGGGTGTATATCCAGCCAAAAGCCTCCCAAGGGCTACCACAATGTCGTAGCGCATATGGCCTAGGTCAGCTCACCCATGCAAGAAAACGGACAGTGTTCTGTCTTCACCATAACGTCAACCTTCAGGACGAAACAGTGTGAATTCAGCTGATTGTAGAAATTGGGCGTTTACGCTGAGTTGCATACTCCTTTTAGATCCCATGCATATTTCAATGCTTTCACTAAAGTTTCTGGCCCAGATGTTCCCAATCAACATTGAACTTTTCTATACCACCGATTGTCTATCCTTGGTCTTCTGGCCTACCCAGTCCTGTTCTTATTGTACACTTAGCGGAGTTTGCTCAGAGCACGGAGACAATCGAGAAGTTCGGATATATTCTGCCTTATGTTACCTCTGCATTGTTTGCCGTCCTCATTTGCTTTGCGAAACTTGGACCGTAAGATGAAAAATTCTCAGCTTAGCAAACCTGGAGAGTAGTTACTCTTGAGAGATGGCATAAGACTATCAGAGTGGCGACAATTTGTTGGTTTTCGCATCCTAGTAGAGTCGCTTTCAGTTATTGCTGCCTCAAAAAACGTCTTTACCCTTAAAATTTTGAGGTTTTAAAGTTTCCTGATGCTCAGGATCTAGTTTTATTTACCTACGGGAAAACGGCCAAAACACTGAAGCTCAAATCCGTGCAGGTTTTAGGTAAACCTACCTTAAGTTGAGCACTTTCCGTAAGAGCCTCTGGAAGATTTTGCCATATGGATGTTATTTTACTACCAACAACTACATTTGACAGGCATGCCTTATCACGAACAGCAAGTGCACATCTTACTGAAAACATCTCTCAGGAATCTCTCCGGTGCCGACAGATAACAAATCATTCCACAGAGGAAATTTTAGCTAGAGAGTCTTCACACCAGCTGGTTTTACAGGAGAATGTTCAAATGTTCAGGATGTTTCCTAATAGAGATACAATAAAGATCAGATTTAGCGAAATTTCTTTGAATTATCGTCAAAACTTAGTAAGTGTTCAGAATGGCTACCCTATCACATTTTTCATTCGAATTACTCATGAACTTTTTTAAAGTATGTGTCGAAAGCCTGGTGCAGAGTTTTTCGAATGACCTTTCAAACTGGTTCACCCGTTTTGGGCTCTGATTGCACCAGAACTCTGGGTCTCGTGTTGGTTGGACGAAACACCTAAGTAGAAATCAAGAAAATGCCCCCAGAAGTTCTAATAAGACTGGTGGTCCCTCTTGTCATAGGAACTTTTGGGATTATGACAATATGTCCTGCACCCATTGGCCTCACTGACCACAAGGTTAGTGGATATGTGAACCCAACTTCCAGTAAGTCGTATTCGTGATTATTCGTTAAAATAGTGTTCCAAATTACCCAGAATTTCACGCATATTTGCGGAACGGAAGCCACCTCCAAAAGAAGCCAAATGTCCCCAATCTATGTGGTTCTAAATCCTCAAAGGCGGTGTATCAGTATGCAATATATATCCGAAATTACCGTACATCATTCCATTAGACATAGGTGAAAGCGTTCAGAATTACTGCGCTGGTGTACACGAGAATACAAAAACTAGCCTTTGAGGCCCGTTACACATGCCAAGTGACTTAGATGGTTGGCGTTTCCGGACTGATCATTTAAAGATCTGAATATGCACACGTTATAATTGCATACTTTTATTTACGGTAAATATTGACATATGTGCGTACAATGGAGGATGTCTTGGAACAGTTTGTGGAAGTAAGTGCCTGTGTTCATCCGCTCTCGGTGCATCATACGTTTCAATCAACATGATCTGGAAAAGGAAGTTTACTAATGCGGGCATGCAAGCGTGTGAGTGTGAAGATATTCAAACCAGCTGTAAACAGTAGGAATCAGGCGCATCAATCCTCGATCGTTTTATTGCAAGGTTGAGGGACGAACGGTTTTCGAGCCGTTCATGGATAACAAGCAAGACCATGATCTACATACACAGTAGAAGAAGAGGGTAGCGATAGCAGCATTTGTTTTTTTTTACAGAGATAACATCCAGCCGAATATCAGCATTCACTTTGGTACTCGAAATTAAACGGAACACTGGTCTCAGCGGCGAATCAGATTAACCAACATATCAATGGGCAGAGGAAAGATAATGGTTGAATTTTTCTCGGCAGAAATGGCACTTAGTGTTTGCAGATAGCGCAGCTGTAGCGCAAACGGGGAACATTGCAGAACATCAGCAGCTTGTTTCAAAGCAACTGAGGCCTTCTCCTCTCCTTCCGCGGCTATCACTTTGGCGCGAGCTTCTCGTGTGGCTTCAGCCTCGGCAGCCATAGCTCGTTGAAGCTGAACTGGAAGACGGACATCTTTGCTGTACAATATAGAATACAAAAATCAAAGTTCAGTGAGGGAACATTTGCGGAACAATTTCACACAGGGTAACCAAACCTGAGACCGATAGCAACTGGTAACGCTGTTGATAGGATCGCTGAGGTTAAAAATTTGTTTCCAGGTATCTCGTTGCTAATCGTGGGAATATCGTCGGTGTACAGTGGGAATCATGTCACCGGTGGTGTCCCCTCGGTTGGTGGCGAATAGCTGCTGAGAAGTAGAATTACATACTATTGGCAGTTCTAATCAGAACAGCGAACGATTGTGGAAACTAAGGAACATAACTGGATCCCCTCAAGCCTAGAAGTGCTACACTATAATGTCTGCTGCGTACCGAACTTTGACATTCATTGATACGTGTGCTCCCTATCGCGCCTTATGCATAAAATGAATACATGGCAGGGACCGTTCGTACAAGATAACGACGGATCACTCACAGGTTGCAATATTTCTCAGCACGGGACAACTTAGTTTGTTTCATTTAAGTCCATTTCGGACGACTACGTATAGCAGAAAGCCAATTCCGTCGGAAGCAGCCATTACAAATTGATTTTTCTCCAAAAGGGAGAACTCTGTTCCAATGATAGGGAATGTGGTCCCCACCTTATGACTAATAGTCATTACCTGATTTATCTGGAACACAGATATGGCTGGTGAGCTTCAGAAATGTTGACACAGAAGTCTACCTACTATTAGTATAATTTTTTTAGACGGAGCCGGAAATCAAGTCCGGTAGAGTTGACGATTTTCTGATAACAAATTTTGAACTTGAGCCATTTTATCCACCTAGATTTGAAAAATACAACTGAATAAGTTCTCGTGCGGTTAACTTCCGTTGAGTTCAGCCATTTTGTTGCAAACGTTTCGCCAGTAGGCGACATGACGCCAGTCTTTTGTTGACAATGATTTTTTCCAAGCTGACCGACTTGGCAAATGGGACGAGCCTGATCTACACAACCTAAGCTATCACCTTCTCCCTCAAAAGCAAGCCGCCGAGCTGCTTTGTCCACATGCCCCGATGGCTCGACTGGCAGAGGTAGGATCGTGGGGCTATTTGTGTTTAAACTATACCAGTCCTAATCTCGGTATGACGACAGTACGCTCTGCCTGATATCGACGGAAAAGAAGGGAACATCATAAATCATAACATATTAAGGTAATAACAAAATGCTAACGGAAGGACATTTGTGCTTAATCATGAACAAAAGCCGCGATTTCCCGCTTACCAGAAGGTTGATTGATACTTAAATACCAAAGCTATCATTGACTATTAATGCCTTCGGGGAGACTCAATCCATAAAAGACAGAATGACCGTTTATGATCTTTTAGTGAAGGACTGAACAGAATCGTTGGTTAGCTCCCTAGTTATGACAAGCATGTCAAAAGCATATTAGTTTCAGTAGCCCGATGGTGTGAAGTTTGTGAATTCATGCATATCCTCCCTCGACCCCAGCTGGCATACACCATCATCATCATTGACATCATGACATCAGTGTTCAACACCCATGCTTCACTGAGGTACAACCATGGTTTATTTGAAAACCTTGTTGTGTTGAAAAGAATGAAGGTGGACTGGTACAAGCATTACGAGGTGCCTACACATCCAGATACTCATTCAGGCAATCTGGATAGAAAGTGACAACAAAAACACCACTAACATCGGTTGACAGCCATATCTTGCAGTATCCCCAACCAGGAGCGATGGGAACCGCGCGGTCTCCATCATGGTAAGCAAATTGCACCGACAACACCCAAAAGTCTCGTAATTTTTTTCATACCCGTCTGCCAGGTCAAGGGTTGGCAACCTCTCTACTTACGCCACTCTGAGCTTGGCATGAAATTGCACTCTCTCCGACAAACGATGGTTCGGCATACGCAGTCAACCCAGTTTCTGGTGCTGGACATATTCTCCAATGGACGTCCCTGTAGGACTTCCGAAAACTCGTTTTCTAATTGCCTCGTATACAAACCTACACGAGCTATGGTTCTGAGACAGCGATTATCGAAAACCCAAAGAGGTTTCGAAAACTATGGAAAAACGTATAGCCGGCGGATGGTCCCTCAATATGAAATACTTTTCCTTATAACAGTGGTCCCCAGAGAAGTTAGCAAGGATCATAATGCAAGAAGCTCCATCCTAGTCAGACTTGCTCGCCAAAACTGTCGGAATTTGACAAAGGTTTGCATAGACTCCCTATTGGACTTATCAGTCAGCGGATGCACGTTTTGAGTGAGTGAATTCGGGTGGAACTGTTTCAGAATGAACCAAAGCGTTCGCTTAAATCGTCGGTAATCGGTCTACCACACTAGGTGGGCGGGTTTTACAATTCATTCACACAAACGCTATCGAACAGTGTGAGAAGCGTGACATGTGTTTAGATGTTCACTTGTGAAGGGGACAATGCTACGCCGAGTGATTACTCGACCAAGGCCATTCGTAACCGTGGATAATTTCCAACGAATATATAATCGCTTGTCTCTCACACTAAACGTTTGCTATAACCAAATCTAGCCGGATTTTTACCAATTGTACACAGTCCATTCGATTCAATCAACCCTGTAGATAGGTTCAGTCGGTTGAAAAACTCTTGGAACCAATTGAGTATTCGCCGGTTTTGCAAACGTTTGGTAGCATTCGGTAGATTTATTATTTGGTCTGACGAAACTTTTGTGTCAAAAACGAAACGTTGTCCAGCAATAAACCTATCACTTGTTACCAAGAATACCCGGAAACCCTTTAGATAGTCAGCATGACCACAGGGGTTAATTAGGTGCTCCGTGCGAACCACTTATCCCTGTGGTGTGTTGAAAATATAGCGGATATCGCAGAGAGATAGTAATCAGTGAATGCTTTCGGACATAACATTGTCCGTCAACAGGTGTTGAATTTATCTGTACCCGTGTCCGATTGCCGCCATACATGTGAAGGTCAGGCATGGCAGGCTCCACGTGACCTGCCAGTTCAATCCCAATGGTGGTTGTCAAATTTGCATGCACACACGCGTGTGTATACGCAATTTTCTGAGCATTGTCTCCCACCAGTAGCAGGGTGAATGACAGAATACTTTCCGGTTTTGCTAACCCTGTTCATAGAGCTCCAATATCAGTCATTTGCACCTTGTTCATCCGCTTTGATGGAAAGCTACGATAATTTAAGTCAGTGCATTCGGTATTAAGCCACTAGCATTTACAAGATGTCGGAAGTGCTGGATGTTGCGAATAAAGCACATGTGATCTTGTTCACGTTCTTTCTCAGCACTTCCGCTCTCAGATTGCCTTTCCTAAGGGCTCGTCAATCTAGAGTTCCTCAGTCGTCAACTGACTAGCCAACCTTACGGATTGCAATGGTATCAATCTGAGGAAGGTTGGCCGAACGCGTTGTTCCGTAGACTTGTGACGCACAAAAGTCTGTTCGTCAGTTTCCAAGGTTCTGGCTCTGCCCGCTACATATTGTGGTCAGCATCACGCTGGGTTTTTGTACATAACGTACTTCACAACAGAATGCAGCTTAATGGGAAACGAAGTGTAATACACTAACAGTGCATGTAGCTGACCACACGACCATTTCACTAAAAGTATACTCGCATCAGGTTCTTACAAATTCTGGCCACAGCATTGCAATACCCGTGGTTTGGTTACTCTTAGTCTATCTGTCAGGATCGAGAGTTGGTGGGGGTGGACACCCAGGACTACTCAGTCAGACTACTCCAGTTATTAAGACTACATTAAGACTAGAACAAGAAAGCAGAACGTTTTCTGATTCTTCAGCTTTCACTCAAGTGTTTCTGTAGGCATTAGTTATCGGCTAAACCTGAGTGACACTCATCGAGGTAGTGTCGATGCGGGTGGAAATACAAGTGCCCACTTGCTTCGGGACGCATCAAGCATACCAACCCAACAAACAATCGATTACTTTCGGACTTTGAACAAATAGCTCATTCCATCGTCCATACGTTAGACGCAATGCGATATTTACATAAATCGTGGTTTTCCCCACCTGGCTGTAGAAAATTAGGAAAAAATTGGGAAAAAATAACTTACACCTCAACTCTTTCGACCTTAACACCCCAGGGGTCTGTTGCATCATCAAGCATCGCCTGTCGTAAGAAGAAAAGTAAAAAAGATTTGGTTATGTTGAATAAAGGACGGAACTGTTGCATCATCAACACTATTCTAGTATTACGCGAGACATGCGGTGTAAAAAGTAGTCGCCTCAATCACAGCAAATTAACACTGCTATGACAATCTTTCAAATCCACATCATGGTATGCACTTTAGTGAAATGCATCTGGGCACAAATCTTGATCACGTCTGTCCTTAGATTACCTAAATCATCAGGTTCAATTTTTTAGTCTTAACGAGGCGTTTTCCATTCGAAATGAAGTTGAGCACGAACCTCTTAAGACATGAAACATCACTTCAATAACCATTGATCCTAACGTCAGAAATATAGAGTTTCTCCCGGGGAAAGTAAGCTCTGCCTTAATTCTTACGTTGGAAATACCTCATTGTCACAACGATCCATTTGCAGTGTTTCAGAATATTTACCAGGGATTCAGGGGAATCCAAGGCGTCATTAGTTACTGTAAAAGATTTGTGTAAATTGACATAATGAAATCATTTACAAGTTTCTTTAGTCAATGGCAAGAAATTTCAAATTTTTTAAACAAAAGTTAAACTAAAAAGGTTGTTTTGCCACGGCCAAAGCTAGATAATTGTCTGAATGGAAAATTTTGTTCAGTGACATCAGGTGTGGTCTTCACACGGAGAAATTCAGGGCGGTATGGTGGGCAGAATCATCTGTATGCCAGAAGGTCTCGTTTAATCTAACCAGATGTTGGCTTTGTATGAGGATTTTCTATCCCGACCAGTCGTAGATTCTTTGATTCTACGAGCAGCACTTTTTCAATGCGATCATGATGGCAGTACAATATACGAGCAAAATACCTCGTGTACTCTACGTAGTGTGATCGAATGTAGATCCTCGGTAGAGTATTCATGGCTTGTTCGGGAAGCATTTTTGGAAAGCTGAAATAAATTGCCTGAATCATAGTTGGCTGGCGGTGGTAATCACTGCAAATGCAAAAAATAATGGTGAAATGAATTACCTGCATGGATGTGGAGATTGACTCCCGTTCCGAGAGAATTTCCGCCAAATTTCTTGTTCCCAAAACGTTACGTAACGTAGTGGCAGCCAGTAACCTTGTTGACCGATCAGCGTCCTCCACATTTGTGATTGCAACAACGGGATTATATATTCGGTAGTAGACTACCGCGTCGACTGCCACGGTGACCGAATCCTTGGTCAGTACCTTTAGAAAGTGCAGCAAAAATTCGACCTGTTATATTAGGAACTTTTACACTGAAAATCCTTATCTCATATACACGACCGTGATGAGCATTTCGCGGAATTAACCTGTACGATTAACCTTGTTCCCTAATGATCAGACAGTGTGGTTTGGCGCTTTGGTTCGTTGTTCGCTACGCACTAGAATTTCAAGATAACAGTCTCCATTCGTAGGCCAGTTGGATTAGCAAAACAACAGTAAGGCCTTGGTGGCAGAAGTCGTTAATTGGAGTGATATAAACTGACTGGTTCCGATGCCTGACTTTGAAAAGGGAACTTACCGGACCAAATTTCCATTCTAAAAGAAGACATTAACGTCGTCTCTCTAGGAAAATTCGTCTAGGAAGGGAGGATGTCCGGAAAGACTGTCCCAATACCCGTTGCTATTGGATATGAGATTGATCCTGCGAAACTTGATGACTAGCATCAAACGTTCACTGGAAGATTTCGCAGCATACGAATATAAGTTACATACTGAATGACTTTTACTATAAGTAATGATATAGCAGATAAGAAGACGGAAGAAGGTGCACTTGTCTACCCGAGTCTTCTATTGGAGAAATTAAGCCTCTTGTACAGTTGTCCCTATGTGCATTATTTTCCTCATTATATGCAAGCCAACTTCCAGTACAGATCTGTCAGAATAGCTCATTTTGGCATCCCTTTGGTTGTTTTGTGAATTGACCCCGACGAATGACAATCGTCGGTGATCTCATAATTCCCCTGATCTTCGCTGAATTCCGTCTGTTTGTCGAATGTTTTCTCATATGACTCCTTCCAACAAGCTCTGTAGTTTTCTTGTTCAGGGAGGAGATGGCCCCATCTGTGTACCCCTGAACGGCAGCTGTAGAAACAAGGAACAGTTGCTGGCTTCTGGACACTGTGTGATCAGAATTCTTCCTGAAATGCACGCAAAACGTCACAATCGTCACTCAATGCATATTTTAACAGCCTAAAATAAACCCATACTAATCGAACCGTATTCGATTGATTCCGGAGAATGGAAAGTCCCATACTAAACAAGTAGCGCAGTGTACTTTTAAACTGTCGAGGTTTCTCCTCGAGCAACGCTATCCCACTGAAACTCTACTTATCAGTCCATATATTTTCGTATCGGACGTAAGCAAAAAAGCTGGCGCTTAAGTATGGGAAAAAGCAACGACCGAGTACTATTCCGTCCTTATTAAGGCCGAGATCTCCAGACTCGTGTACAGCTCAGTATACAGTCAGCAATGACAAGCATCCGAGAGGCCGAGAAATTTGTCAAGTCAGAAAACAAAGAAATTTCTTATTTCTACGCCAGTCAGTTAACATACACAGTGGTTACTTAAACAGCAACATCAATCGTTTCTTCATGTGCTTTTCATCAGACTTTTTACCTGCTTTAAAAGCAAGTGAAAGTTGCGATGTGTCGCCACACAGTGTTTTGTGTTCTTTTTAAACAGATTCAGAATTTCGGTAGTGTTAATAAAACCAAATTTAATAAACCAGCCTATTTGTGTTTAATTTTTCGACCGTTAAATTTTTGACTTTACAGGTCATTTTTTTCTATAAATTGGCATGTCAGTTGCAAAAACTATTCAGTTTTCAGTGCACGACTAAGTGGACAACATGTTGTAAGTTGAGTCGAACGGATTTCCGGTCAACAGCTACATTTGTTTGTTTTGTTGAAAATCTGCTGTACTACTACGAAGTGTACGCAGTGACCACGATAACCACTATGAGTACGTCGAAATATTGGGAAACTGCGCTTTATGGATCGGGTGATTTGTTACTCTGTTGACTACGTTTTGCAGTCTGCTTACAGACGGTTCATCATCAATCTTGAAAATATCAGCGGTGGGTTTGAGTTGATGGGAATGTCCCCCGTGAACCAGAGACGGATGTTCGCAAGCAGACTGTCAAGCTCGGCAAACAGATCAACAGACACCCAATCTACAACCGGATACTATGGCTAAATTGTGTAGAAACCGTGATTAATCCATACCCTAGGACGGGTTAAGTCGCAACCGACTGCATAACTCAATCTACACAGGTCTATAGTCTTAGTCTGGAATTGTTAGCATTTGTGTACGTTGAGTCATACACTGCATCGTACATCTGAGTCAAATGTTTTAAAATAGTTGTCATTCCAATATTTAAGGTCATGATACAGCTATATACTAAAAAAGACGCACGGAGAAAGCCAAGGAATTTCTGTGCTCGTGCTCAAAGTATCTTTTAGTTGGTGAATCACTGGGTACGATGTTCATCCCCCGTTATGTAGATAAGCATCATACCACTTTCGTTATCATGTTTCCGAATGCTATTAGGTGCGAAGTACATTGAGATGGTATGACCATTAATGGAACGAGTAAGCGAATCACATGGAGAAAAGTCCTTGGTACACTTCAGGGTAGACACAATAAAATATAAAAGGCCTGACGTAATAGGGTTACACAAGGTCTTCAGTTGAATAGTTGATCAAAGTGAACAATAGTTTAAAAGTCTGATGTTCCCATAGAGCTTGAAATCTACTTTATTGCGCGACACAGATGAAATCGAAGACTCCGTTTTCACGACTCGGGTCTGAATCCCTAAATGGTCACCTTTAAACTAGTCGCCGACTCCCCGTCTTGAAATGTGGTGAAGGAGTATTTGAAGTTGAGTAGTCAAACCGTCTTCAGAGAAATAGCTTGCAGGGTTATATTGAGGGATTAATTATTGATTATGGATTGGTTAAACAATAAATTCACATTATTACAGATTGCACCTATTGTTATCTACGTCTCATCTGACCAATATTGTAATGAGCAAAAATTGGATGAAATAAAATTGAACATGATAGCCTGGAAGCCATATAGTACTTACTGTAATCGACCATGATTGACTCGTGTCTCTTGGTATGAAATGAGGAAGTTGGTATTAATTTGTATTGTGGAAGGACATTCACCGGAGTGCTGCTAAACCCTGAATTTCTACTGTATAACCGATTGTCTTCTTAGGTCAAACCAAATCAACAGATTATTTGCAAGAAAAAAAACAGGGCGGAACCGGTTGGTAATTACTAAGTGATTGTGACTAGCCTTTGTATTCTGTGCACAGAAGATCTGGTTACAAACTCTGGTACAAATTCCATTCATCCTGGAGAATACTCGTGCTTCTACGATTTGTGTCGGCTCAGTGTTCTCCCAAATATAGGACCTTAAACCCATTTGCGGCAAAGATATTTCCATGCCGAATTGGTCGTCGTTGATTACAGATGTACATTACCGCAAATGAGATTTATACTCCCGGCAGTACGATTCTAACTATAGGCTTTATTTACGTCAGTACCCGACACAGTTAAATTGTGGTCATCCACCCCGATAAATGAATTTGGCCAGCAACTTGTCGCGAAGGCTAACAAGAAGATGACTCCGGATATGGTGAGTAAACGTACTTTACTCCAGCATTCTGACCGCAACTGCAATAATGAAGATGCAATAATGTGTGTGCGCATCATCAGGATGTGATGTAAGTCGAGGAATAAAAACAAAAGGAGTTTTTCAATAAAACGGATTTGTCTACAAGCTATGCATCTAATGCAAACTCATCAGAATGGTAGTACGCAGATAAACCTGAGTCTATTGTCTGGAGTGGGTGCGTCGTAGCCTTAACTCCCAATGAAAAAATACTTGCTCGAAGATTAAAATTATTCTTAAGAGGTCATACTATCGTAAAAGGATTTTTTTAAAATGCTCATCTCCAAACAGGTTTTTCGATTGGAAGATCATTTCTTCTCAGAGGGTAATGCTTTGTTATCTTTCCGACGTAATGCACTACTCGTAATTCTGCTGGAAAACTTGCTATTTTTACCCTCCAAAAGGCTAACAAGTTAGGCACCGCCCCCCAGTCTCCATTAAATATTACTGTATTTCCTTACTAGAAGGTCAACAAGAACAATCCTTGGAGCTCGAGCGTTTGTCGGATAATTATTCAACGACATAGTGTTAAGATAGTTCACTTGGCGTCCTCAAAGTATAACAGAGAGATAGCCTAGCGTAATTAGGTGAATATGGTATAGAACCTCACACTGGGGCCTACCCAGGCAAGCAACATGATAAGTGTTAGCTGAAGGCTAGTCGTCCGAGTCTCATGAAGATTGTTGCCGCAGTAGACAGACCGGGAACATTTCAAGATAGTATAGATATATTAGTAAAGTATAGTCTATTCATATAGCATAGCATTGTTAGCTTGAGAAGAAACATTGCTGAAAATGGGAAATGGCCAGTTACAGATCACTTCTGGTCCTGAGTGTCAAAAATAATCGTCAAATCAGCAATCCTGAGGTAGTTTTCATGAGCTTGTTTGAGAGATTCCGAATGCAGTCGGTAGTTGCTAAGTAATTATTCTACGCCATCCTCTGCACGCAACGACACCACTGCATTTCAATGGATTCTGACCAACTTAGTTACTTTATTTGGAAATAACAGTCCACCAGCCTTGTCACTGCTGTCAAGTGAAAACGTCACCGAACGTATCAGATATGCAACAGCATAAAGAGTGGAGCGCACATTTCGACAGGCCAATTGACGTGGGTTTTTACAGAGCGGTGACTGACATTGCACTAACAATCACTCTCTCGAATATTTTTAGGGAAGTGGAGTGGCATACTATGGACTGGAGTCTATCTGTCCACTTATTCGTCACTTCGTACTTTTGCCAGAAGGAATCTATAACTTTATTCGAAAAGAGATGTGAACCCGGAAGAAATCAATCTCAGAAAGTATTCTCCATGTTTACAATACTGTAGATGCAGTGTTTAAAAAAACCGATCAATTTTTTCTCAAAATTGTAGAAGATCCCATCTAGGAGATTTGCGACATATTACCGGAGTAATACAACATTCTTATCGTGCAGTTTCCAGCAGGGTACAACGGGCCATCGATTAGCAGTATAAAACTATTGCTCAGCAGTTTAAAAAGATACGAATTTCAAGTGTGA